ATTTATTCATAACACACGTGAAAAGACCCAGGAAAACCGAGTAAACGATAAAAACGATAACAAAATAACGCTGAAAACCCATAAAACCCCTGAAAACCATACATTTCACACCTGAGCCTCAACTCTCGCGGCCTGGTACCAAACGACTCACGGACCGGTACCGGTCCGAGGCCCGGGGGTTGGGGACCGCTGCTCTAACCTACTTCACACACATCTGTACAGTATCATGGCATTATCCATTATTAGGTAGAAAAGCCTTTTTGTGTGTGGTCTAAAGCCAGCCCATCCAACTCCCTAGTAGTCATTTACATATGCTATGCTTCCTTTCTTCACTTGGGAAGAATTTATTTATCTTATCTCTATTTTGCTCCATTCTGTTTGCCAGTGTTAATAAAAACACATATAAACACAGTAGCATTGTACAAGCCATTGTAGCTGGCTGGCAGGTCTCACCTGAAACACAGAAAGCCAGTGTAGATAAGAGGGAAAAACACCATGCAGATCAGCACTCTCCACACAGGGTTCTCTACTGAAAGCTTACCACACCAGATCTGAGTCAGCAGAGCCTGAAAGACACGTTTACACAGACTGGATTATAATGCAGCACCACGAAAAATTTTGAAATTAAATTGAGCGATTTCTTAACTTTTGTAACTTTAATTGATCTATTCAACATTGTGATGTATAACACACTGGAAATCCCCTCTGGAAAAATCTAAATTTTCCTCTACCTGAACACCAGACTGAGCTATGACGTTTTTGTCATCTGCCTCGAGTGCCAGCCGCAGGCATGTCGTTCTGCCCCACAAGTGTGACATGCGAACCAGCAGTTTCTTAGCGCGCGACTCGTCACTGTTGTGGCACTCAGTGAAGACACCTGGGACACACATATACGCAGCCTGAGGATAAATTCAACAATCACGTAACAATCACGGTCAATTCAGCCATGTTATGATATGTGTTATACCAATGGCGTGTTTCTCATAGTGATTGGCGAGTTCTCGCATTTCTTCTGTATCATCTGCATCGCTTCCTTCTCGTGCCATTTTCTTCAGGATCTTACTGGCAGCCAGAGCAGCAGACATACAATCCCTACACTGTTAGTACACAGATACAGAAAGATGTGAGGTCATAAACACGCCACGCAAGCAGCTATGGTTGAAGTTTCCAGAAGTGCTTTCGTCACCTGCTCCCAGGCAATTTCAGCCAGTTCCTTGTTATTCTGGACAACAGCCCAAAGGAAAAGGTCTGTGCCCGGGTCCCTCTGTGTTTCAGGACTGTCCTCCCTGAGCTGAGCTTGGGAACTTGTCTGACTTTTAGACGGCTAAAAAGAAAGTGAAGGAGTCTGTTATTATTACATGAATAATGTTTACAATGCCAGGATTTCTGATATAATGATACCCTAAAACAGCATATTCAGTCTAAATACTTCGTATATTTACTGAATATTTTACTCCTACTAACATCTATTTCCATAAAATAAGCTTTCTCAAATTATAAAAAATAAAATTGGGTAAGATACAACACATGATTAATTGGCAAAAAGACAGATTCAGTGTTTCAAACAAAAAAAACTGGATGAACTAACTCACTGACAGTGACGTTTCATCCATGGACATGTTTAACTGGTCTGTGGTGGTGGAGGGAGGATACAGGGGCTGGGTGAACTTGCCCAGCAAGTGGCGCACCTCATCAGAGACATAAGTTAAGGAGATCTTTTTTTTGCCTTGCTCCCTGTCGAAAGCTTGCCTCCCGCTGCATCGAGCACTGTGGATCCGCTTAGCCAGCTTGCGCAGAAAGAAGCAGCTGGGCAGCTGTGCGTAGAGCTCACACAGAGTTTCCTCCTCCTGCAGGAAATCCCTCAGATTCACACCGTTCTCCAGCAACAGACTCACAAACTGAGGCTTGTTGCCAGTCAGGGCTGAGAACATGGCCCAGTGGAGGTCGTTGGACTAGAAGCAGGAAAAAAATCAGAACAACATCATCAGAATTTTTGTTGTTTTTTTGTCTAGTATCATTGTTTTAGAAACAAAGGATGGTGTGATGGCAAAGTTCAACATGGAGACAATAAAATGAATGGAAAAGCAGACTGCTATTTCTTTATAGACCTCTTCTCTGCTACTCGTAAAACCTTTATAATATGATGCATGCTGCTGCTGAATCAGCGACTTTATGGTGTTATGGTGGCAAGAAGGCTTTCTGTATTGATACTGTGGGCTGGGTTTACCTTTGGAACCAGTTTCGAACACAGCAAACCCTCCCTATAGTTAAATCTATATTATGTCAATTATTTACAGTTTTTCACTTCTCCAGTGAAAATGGCGTGTGTGGCCAGTCTGGCACCTGATAGGCTCACATAATTACCTATTTCAGTTTTCCCATTCATTAAATTTATCTTACTAATACGAACCAGGATTTCAATGCTTTCCAATCACAAAGCCTGCGCTGTAAAGGTCAGTGTTTTTCTCTTTCATTTCAATTCCCTTTTTTCCCCCTAACATCAGAAATCAGACAAAGCAGTCACACAAGAGGTAGGTATCAACTAAATAAGGCAACCCAGAGTTTCCCAATCTAGCTATGAGTTTGTTTGGACGAAAGGGAAGCATGTAACCAATCACAAACATAGACAGCTTTACTAGCAACAGAGTGATATACTTTACAAAGAAGGTTAAATATTAGAGAAAAGACTGGAAAAGCAGTGTGCATTAAGTTCAAGACAAGTGTGTAAACTGAAAGTGAGTAGAGAAGAAATATAAAACGTTATTGGCAAATGTTTGAAATATGTTTTTACATAATTCAAACAGAATTACATTTTAGAATAACATCACCAGGTGCAAGGCTTAGGTGTGTTGCCTTACAGAAGAATAAAATTCAGCATTACTTGCGGCCAGCAGGACAGAAGGAAGGGATAAAGTTATTTGGAGGAATTGATGTTTCTTATTGATGTTCAGCAGGAAATGGGGGAGAAAAAACCACTATCTGGGTAACTGATCAGAGAGTGATGTTGGTTTTCTATTTAAAAGACAAACCCACCTTCCACTGGCTCTCCTCAGTGAAGATCTCAGTCTCAGCTATATCCACCCGGTCCCAGGTTATAGCCAGCTCCAGCTGCCTATTCCAGCATTCAACTTCCAGGAATTCACTGGATCTTGAGGCTGAAAGAAGAATTTACAGTGATTCGATTTATTTGTCTCTTGTCTCTCTAAAAAGCTCATCCACTGCTCGGTGCATTTTAGATAGCATTGGGGCGATCGTGACTCAAGAGTTGGGAGTTCGCCTTGTAATCGGAAGGTTGCCAGTTCGAGCCCCGGCTCGGACAGTCTCGGTTGTTGTGTCCTTGGGCAAGACACTTCACCTACCGCCTACTGGTGTTAGCCAGGCAGCCTCGCTTCTGTCAGTCTGCCCCAGGGCAGCTGTGGCTACAACTGTAGCTTACCTCCACCAGTGTGTGACTGGGTGTGTAAAGGGCCTAGTCCCCCCTAGGTCCCTAGGGGGGACTAGTAAATGCGCTATACAAATACAGGCCATTTACTGTTTGAATGTAAAAAGTTGTTTTTTTTTCATTTATCCAATGACTAATCTAATTGATTTTTAAATAAATTCTTAAACCATTTAATCTGAGAATGATGTTTTTCCCCCAGCAAATCTTTTAAAAATATTTATATTACAACAAAAAGACAAGCAAGAGTCCAGTCTGACAAGATGGAAGCATGGACGTGTTTGGTTTATCATCAAAACCAAATATCAAACATAAACCAATTATTTTTCTATTATAGTGTTCTTGATGCATTAGTACAGGAAAATTTCCAGTTGTAATACCAGGACTGTAGTCATGTGACTATAATAGAAGACACTGGATGACCTACATTAGCTGAGATAGCAGAAAGGCGCCCAGATAATGTGGTTTAATTACCTAGATGGATGGAAAGTCTGGACAAAGCAGATAAACTAGAATGATGACTCATCACGGTCAAAAGATTAAGTGAATGTCCAGTGTGATGGACGCACTTACGGTTTCAGTGCACTTTAGCTCAGATTTCTTTGCTAAGCTTGGTTTAAATGGGTTTCTTAGGTATTTTTTCAGAATATCATGAGGTGTTATTAGTCTGAAGGAAGCATGGCACATTTATAAAGACATCAAGTGTAGTTTTAAAGGTCTCTCTGTAAAGATGGTATCAAAATATCTTCAACTGTGGGACATTCGATAGCACATTTATTTTTCTGACTGGAAATATTATACTTGCTAAGAGCTTGTTTGGCACTAAGCCAGTCCTTCTTCATACTTAATAGCGTGTGTTATGTTTGTAGGCTGTCTGGTTAGGATCCGGGCATTTGCTTCAAATCCATATTCTTACCTTTGAGTAGTGCTTGAAGAATGGCCACATCCAAATCCCCGTGATAGTCCTCGCTCACTCTGAACACTGTCAGCAGGTGTGACATCCTGATGATGTCCTGAATCTACAAATTCAATAAAGAAAAACGTTTAAATACTGGAACCACTGTTTCTTTGGCTTTGACTCAGACATCTCTGGTGAGCACACAGCAAACTTCATGCAAATATTTTCATCTTTGATATTTAGTCATTTAGCTGCAGGAAAAAGTTCTGCAGCTAAAACTGTGCTATTCAACATATGTTACTGAAGATGCATGGTGATGAAGATGAAGGTATCATCCTGACAAAGAAAAATGTGAACAGCAAATATAATAGACCTAAATCTGACATAAGACAAGCAGACATGAAACACATGTAGGGAGAGGAGACTTAGACACAGGGGGGTGAGGACCTTAGAGGAATCGAATATATATCGAATATATATAAGATGTTAGTGGATAGGATTTATAAGGGAGCAAGTGAACATTTTATCCTCAAAGCTGATGTTAGAAATGGGAAAAATGGCCAAACATAATGATTTAAGTGAGTGTGAAAACACCAAAATTGTGATGGCTAGACAACTGAGTCAGAGCATCTCCTAAACTTTAGCCCTTATGTTGCTGCAGTGGTCAGTATCTATCAAAAGCGATACAAGCTAGGAACAGCAATCAACAGGGCTGTCAAGAATCACTGATGCATGTGGGGAGTGAGGGCTGGCTTGTGTGGTCTGATAAAACAAAAACAAAAAAACAGCTGTAGCTCAAATAGATAGGTGTCAAAATAAACAGTACATTGCAGTTCATCCTGTGTGGGGCTGCATAGCCACAGACCAGTCATGGTGTCCATGCTGACCCATGTCCACCACCAAAAGCACCAACAACAGCCGGGTGAGCTTCAGGCCAGGACCACAGAGCAATGAAACAAGGTGGTCTGGTCTGATGAACCGCGTTTTCTTCTGCATCACATGGGTGGCCAAGTGCGTATTACCTTGAAATGTACTACCTAGCAAAGAACTGTTGCAGACAATCTACAACCTTTAATGGAAATGGTATTCCCCGATGGGTGTGGCTTCTTTCAGCAGGATGATTCTCCCTGCCACAAAGGAAAATAGTCCAGGAATGATTTGAGGAGCACAACAACGAGTTTGAGGTGTTGAATTAGCCTCCAAGTTCTCCAGAGCTCAATTTCTCCAATCGAGCATCTATTGGGAAAATAATGACTGAACAAAAAACTTATGTACATGGATGCCCACCTAATCCATCTAATGTCTAATATCCATCCATCCATTTGCTTCCGCATCCTTTTCAGAGCCTATGCCAGCTGTCATAGGGCAAGAGGCAGGTACACCCTGGACAGGTTACCAGTCTGTCGCAGGGCTAACACACAGAGACAGACAACCATTCGCACTTACATTCACTCCTGCAGTCACACCTATGGGCAATTTGGATTAATCAATTAACCTATCCCCACAAACTGCATGTCTTTGTACGGTGGGAGGAAGCCAGAGTACCTGGAGGGAACCCACGCAAACACGGGGAGAACATGCAAACTCCACACTCTGGGCAAAAATGCTTCTATAGTAAGTTCAGTAATTTTATGGTTTTCAGTATATTTACATACCTTCTTGGTCCATTCTATGATTTTGCCATCTGAGAATTGTTCATACTCTTGACCAAAAAACTTCTTCATCAACTGCTGGATGAGGGCAATAGTGACTCGGATTAGTGGCAGTCCTGACACGTGTGCAATAACATCTGCTATTCTCCCAGAGCCCTCCAAGATCACGCATGGTGTTCCATGCTGCATAGCATTGTAGATGGTCTGAGAGGAGACACATAGGGCAGTTATACAACAACAACACACACACACACATACACACTGACACTGGGGGAGAGAGGCCAAAAAACTGCTGACTCACATTCAGCGTGCCTGGTCCGCCATCCAAAACCACACACACCACAGGAATAGTCACACCAGTCCCTAAAGATCAAATATTTGATCAATTAAAAAAAAAAAAAAAATCAAAAGCTTGAAAGATATATTATTATATTTCAATAAATATCTGTGTTGTCTTATTGATTTTTTAGATACTACATCTGTTATCTTTAACCTTTATTTCCAAGACACTTTCTAGAGATCCACATCTC